AAACTGAAAAAAACACAAAAAGTTACTTCCCAAATGTATTGTTTTTGTTGATAAACTTTTGTCTCTAAAATTCAAAGGTGCAATATGAACCTAAAGACTAATCACCATTGTGATTTTTATCAAGGACAGTGTTGTTCTTATAAGTGAAAATGATTAAAGTTCACAGGGTTAAACAACTAGCCCAAAGCAACCGTGAGTCATCACTAACGCAGAAAGACAGTTCAGATGCGCTATTTGCAGGACAGGGCTCTACCCGGCGTCACAAAGTTTTCAAGGTAGACTTTCCTGGATTATCACTTCACTCAATAGATGCAAAAATAATCCAAAATTAAATTAAGAAAAAAAATGGGAGGCGGAATATGACCCTAAATAGGAATTCTGAAGACTTTAAGAGAAAGGATTTTCCTTCACACGAAGAGTATTACTAGATACTGCATTCAGCAATTTCTCTAAGTATATCTTAAAATGTAGGAGAAAAATTAACTATGTGTTCCAGAAGGGATATGACAATAGTCCTAAGAGAGGACCATCCTAAATGACCGCCCTGTTCTAAACCTTTGAAGGCACTGGTCTTAGCTTATTCAGATGCCACCGACTGCTCCTTAGTGTCATCCTGATTAGAAACGAGTTGTCTGGGTGGGATAACTTGTGAACATCTAGAACCTTAAGAGTTGAGTACTACTGGTTTCCCCTGCTTCCCAATCAAGACAGCTACAGGACTTCAGAGTATGCTAAAGTCCACAGAACTCATTAAGACCACATACAACAAAACAAGCACACACTTCCCCAAGGCTAAGCAACACACTTCAATCAACAATCTTCCGGCCTCAGTACTTGAAGTGGGACCCTGTTTCCAACAAAGAAACTGAACAGTACTTGGGACATTATCTCATCCAAAGAGGACTTTAATCTCAAAACCAGTTTCTGTTCTTTGCTATTTAATGACTGTAGTCTATAAGCAATTCAAGTCTATATAACTACACTGATTAATTTTATTCCTCTGCTTTGTAAAAAATTCTTACTACAGGGGCTGGAGGGATGGCTCAGGGGTTAAGGGCACGGCTGCTCTTTCAGAGGAAATTCGGTTCCTAGGACCTGTAACTCCAGCTCCAGGGATCTGATGCCTCTGGCCTCCAAGGACACCTGCACTCATGTGCATATACCACACATACGCATAATTAAAACAATAGAATAGCCACGTATGGTGGCTCCTGCCTTGGCTGGTAGATCTCTGAGTTCAAGGTCAACCTGATCTATATACAAGTTCCAGGCCAGCCAGGACTACAGAGTAAGACCCTGTCAAACAAAAGAAAACAAAACAACAACAAAGGAAAAACTAACTTAAAAAGCATTCTTACCACAGCGTTCAGCACTTATTTGAAGGAATCCACTTCACCCTATTTTCAGTCATACGTGCTGAAAACTGCTGCAGCTCCATGCACTTCACATACACAACACCCAGAACATTATAAAGTCCTACTTTAAATACATTAGGGACGTTTAGTAATCTCATTAATAACCCTTGACTTCAAAATATTTTAATCTAGCCAGGCATGGTGGCGCACGCCTTTAGTCCCAGCACTCGGGAGGCAGAGGCAGGCAGAGCTCTGTGAATTCAAGGCCAGCCTGGTCTACACAGTGAGTTCCAGGACAGCTGGGGCTACAGGGAGACCCTGTCTCAAAAAGACAAAAAAAAAAAAAAAATTAATCTGGATTTTCAAATATGAAAGAGAATGGGAGTGAACATTTCCTTGCCTATTTTTAGGCACTTAAATTATTTCACTTACTTCCTCCAATCCTGTGAGACAGTTTTATCCCATTTTACAGATGAGGAAAATTACTCAATTAACATCTTACCTTTGACCCTAGGCTAACTCCACTGACCCAGATTTTCCTACCATCCTGCTCCAAATTTATGTAAAATCGGTTAACAGCAAAAATATCGAAATCATTTGACCACAGTCCCAATGTCAGACACAACACCATCCAGATAATCAGAGGTCTCAAACTAATCTGCTTAAACCTCAATCTTCCAGGAGCTGAAGAGATGGCTCAGCAGTTAAGAGCACTGGCTATTCTTGCAGAGGACCCAGGTTCAGTTCCCAGCACCCACACAGCAGGTAACAATGGTTCCTAACTCCAGTTCCAGGGGATCCAATGCCCTCTTCTGGCCTCCACATGCAATGCACTACACAGGTGCACTTACACACATACAGGCAATACATTGATACATATAAAGTAAAAATAATAAATAGAATATCAAATAAATACCTCAATCTTTTCAATAAAAATGAGATTAACATTGGTCTTGCAAAAAGTTACTAGGGTAGCTCAATGAAAGATAGGATTTGTGGAAATATACTGAGCCCTAGAATATCACAGAAGAGCATTAGCATAGCAGGTGTGAAAAAGCATATAATGGATTGCCAGATACAGTTCTGGATTGTTCCACATGTCATGAGCAATAGTGGTTCATAGTTAAAAATAAAAGGCAAAATAGTTTGATAATGTTAAACTGTTATATAAATGTAAAATGCCACTACTTTACCAAACCAATTCTTCCAGAAACTTAAGCTAAAGAGACTGAAAGACTTCCTACTGTAAATAAGTTTTTTTTTTAAGTTTCCTAATTGTTCATTACTAGATTACAAGTTTAAGGTGGGAAAAATTAAAACCTAAGATAGACTAACATAAATTTAAAGCACAGAAAAAGTGATTTGATAATGTTCCTAATTTTATTTTCTCATATCTAGCTCCTAGAAGAATTTATAAAATTAAAAGATTTTTTTAAAACCCAACTTTTTAACAGGGTTTATTATAAAAAGCAGAAAAAAAAAGATTAACAGGGTTTATTAAATGTGGTCTATAATAAAACTTTCTTTTTGAATATTTTTAATCATTAAAAATCATGCAATCTACTTACCTAAATGGTTTTGAAAAACTAAACTTTAAATAGCTGAAAAGGTTGAATTATTTTGTTAATCCTTACAGTCTGCTTTAAGAGAAACTACTGGGGACCTTTCCAGTTCAGGCCCACATGGACGAAGTGTGAAGTAAGCAGGTTGGTATAAATACTTGGAAGATCCTGAATGCCCATGGATATCTGAATCACTCCAAAGTAAGATTATGCTTCAGAGCAGGAAGGGAAAATTCTCTTTCATACAGACACCAAAGGGCTTTCCACTGGCTGGTTTTTGTTTTGTTTTTTGTTAAAACCACAAATGGAAAAAAATACTACTAACAGAAACAACACTGTGGTATCAAGGACACTGCCAAAGTACCACGTGAAGGAATTCAATGTTTTTTTTTTTTTAATCACTTTTCAAGCATTTTGGCACCTGGAGGCAGTAAAAGTACTTTTTCTTATCAGAGAACAATCTAAAGATTTTATTTCCTCAATTGAGTTTATTTTTATTTTATGTGTATAAGCGTATTGCCTGCATGTGTGTAAATGCACCGGGGTCATGCAATGTTAGGGAGGTCTGAAGGAGTCGAATTCCTCTGGAACTGGCGTTCTGGAAAGTTGTTAGCCACCACGTGGGTACTGGGAATGAAACCCGGGTCCTCTGTAAGAACAGCCAGAGTCATCTCTTCAGCCCTTATTTCCTCAACTGAATCTGCATGAATTCATCTTGGATAATTCCTTATGAGGAGTATTATACATTCATGCCGACATTGTAATTAAAGTTCCGGTTTTATTTTTCCCCTCTATTATTTTTACTGTATATGAAAACATTTATGGTGCCTGCAACTATTGAACCAAACATCATATAACTTAGAATCTAATTACTGAATTCTATGCATATATTTGCCAGTTTCAAAAGTAAATTAAAGCTGCATCTTCGGATTGAGAACCATGTTTAAAATCCAATTAATTAAATAAAAGTGAGGATTAAGTACACTAATCAAAACTCACTTCAGCCAATTAGCATATGAAAGAAAAAGCCTTCAAACTGTAAAGATAACATGATAAATTAATGAAAAAGATCAAAACATAAAATAATTGCGTGTGAACATTCATACCTATGGGCAGTAACTCACTAGCCAAAGCCTCGCAGTGCCGTCCCCACGGCGTCTACCACGGACGACGCTGCGCTGCTCTTAACGTTAGTTAAGGCAATGTAGCCACAAGTGCGACAGCACGAACACACACACAGCCTCTTCTCCAGTCCGTGTGATTCCAGCTGTGGCAGGTCCTCCATTCAGAGGCACCCCGGGGGCCGAGCAGCGCAGGGTCTGAGTGGGGCTCCAAAGCTGTTGCAGGTCAACAGCGATTTGATCTGGGCTTTTCTTTAGACCCCTTGCTGGATGCGCAGGCCCAAATCAGAACCAGACTGGTCTCGAAGGGGATGCTGGCTCCGCGTCAAGGAATTGAAAATCTGTCGAACATGTATGTGTTGGCACGAACCCTGGCTTCCTGGGCTGTACATCATCTAGCTGTCTACCAGGCTGCAAGAATGTCTCTACCATCTAGGAATATAACCATCTTTTCCTACAACACCTATGTCCTAAAACGCAAGGACGCAGAAGCCGCAAATTAAGTCAGCGACTCTCAAAGGCAAGCACCACCACCAGGGACACAACTTGGAAAAGCCTGTCGCTGCAGGCAGAGCCAGAGGGAGTGCGGCCAGGCGGCGGGCGGACCCCGACGGGCGTCCAGCACCCTCCCCGGCCCGCCGTCCAGCCTGCGCGCACGCTCGCGCTGCACCGGAGGACACCGACCTAACACTCCACCGAGGATGCCCCCGCCCGGGCGGGGTAGGGCCGTCTACCTCCCAGCTGCTGGCACTCGGACCCAGGGCCCGACGGCCAGGAGCCGAAGGGAGGCCAGGGAGGTGGGTGCAGACTGCGCCCGCAGGGCGGAAACCTCGGAGCCGGGGGCAGAAAAGGCCTCACCCGGCGGGGCGGGCGGCGCAGGTGGGCAGGATGCGGGCCGGGAGCCCGTGGAGTCGGAGGGCAGAAAAGGCGGTGGGGGAGCGGGGACCGGAACCCGCGCGTACCTTTGAGCTGGGGCAGGGGGTGCAGCTCTGCCTGGCCGCCCTGGCTGCGGAACTGCGACGAGCCCTGCGAGCGCTTCTGCCTCTGCGCCTTGCGCACCGATTTCCGGGTGAAGCCGTCCACTTTCTCCGCGGCCGAGATGGCGGCGCAGGCGGAGGGCGCGGGCGGCGACGACGACATCCCGGCGGGCGGCGGCTGGAGGCCGCCCTGCGCCCCGGGTCCCCCGCGCCGTGCTCGCTCCCCGGAGCCGAGAGCTGCTCCCCGCCCGACGGCGCCTCACGGCCGCATCCCCGTGCGGGCCGAGCAGAAGTGGCGGACGGCGGATGTCAAGCGAGTTCGGACGGTGCGTTCCCTCCGAGCGGCTCCTCAGCGGCCGCTGCCCGCGCCGTCCGCCCGGCCCGGAGCCTCCAAACGGGGCGCTGCCATCGCGGGTCCGCGCGAGCCGCCGGCGAGCGCTCGCGTTCCTTTCGCGGGGGGTGGGGGAGGAGTTTGACTGACAACTTCCGCGGGGTTCCGCTAGCCTCTCGGGGCTCCCGGGAGGGCCAGGGGCAGGAAAGCATGCCAGTTCCCTCAGCCAATCGCAGGGCTAAGCGGCAAAGCGAGGGGGAGGGGGCGTGGCCTCCAGTACAGCCATCAAGAGCCGGGCGCGGAAGATGAGGCGTGGCTATGGCGGGGGGTGGGGGAGGAGTTTGACTGACAACTTCCGCGGGGTTCCGCTAGCCTCTCGGGGCTCCCGGGAGGGCCAGGGGCAGGAAAGCATGCCAGTTCCCTCAGCCAATCGCAGGGCTAAGCGGCAAAGCGAGGGGGAGGGGGCGTGGCCTCCAGTACAGCCATCAAGAGCCGGGCGCGGAAGATGAGGCGTGGCTATGTGACAGACGTGGGCCACAACCAATCGCAAGTGAAGACGGTGAGCGGAGTGCCCCGTGCGTCACAAGAGTGTAAGGAAAGCTCTCGGGAGGGAGGGGAAATGCCCCTCCCACCGGCGTGCCCTGCGTGCTGCTCCAGGCTGCACTTCTGACAGCCTGTGGGGAGAGAGGAAGACTAGACGGCGCGGGTCGGAGGCAGAAGAAAGTTCTACCCCGTGCGCTCTGCTGGCCAATGAGGGCCTGAAGCGATGGGGCGCCGCCGCCGTGAGAAGGGGGCGGGGAAAATGTGGGGCGGTGCCTGAGCCGTATGATTGACGGGCGAGGAAAGAGCTTGTCCAATGGGAGCGAAGCGCTGAGCTCCTGGGCGGGCCTTAGCGCCCCTAGGGTCCTAAACCGCATAATTGATAGTTGGGCAGTTAATTTGTAGCTCCTGTGTTTTCGGCACCGCAACTCCCAGAGCGTTGCTCTCGCGTGGGCCTTGGGCGAGCTCGCATGCACTACTTCACGGAGCTCTGCAGGTCCACGCCCTTTAAAGAAGTTTCTGGTCCCCAGCTCAGCCCGCAGATTTTCAGAAGAGGGCCTGTGACCATCCTAGGGTCAAGTTCACAGGCGCTGGTTTGGGGATTTGGAATCGCTTCCTTGGAGACTGTGTCTAGAGTTTAAATACAAAGCCAAGGGACTGTTCGTGTTAGTTTTGGTGCAGTGCTTTCCGGATGATGCTTCAGCTGTTAAGTGCCTCCAACGGGTCTCCCCTCTGCTCCGCAGGCCTTTTCTGTAAACTCCAAATCTTTTGCTTTTGAAATTCCAGATATATTTATAGTAGACTGGTGTAATGCATAGAAGAGAGAGAATTGGGCACAGAGTTGAGTTCTAGACACTCAAAACAATTTCCCTATGTTAACTTAGGCATCCAGCGACAGGAATGGATAAGGAAAATGATGGAATTGTTTTCAGCCTTTAGAGAATGATGTTGTTGGTAGGAAAATAGATGCAATTGGAGGTCATATTAAGCTAATTAAGCCAGTCTCAGACAAATACCCTTTTCCTCTCCTTTGTGGGTCCTAGATTTTACATTGATTCATAGTCATATATGTATATGTGACATGAAGTTGTCTTAAGGGAATAAAGAGGACGAAGGGAAGGGAGAGGATGAGAAAAGACGGTGGGGAGATATGTTCTGTGTACAATATAGACTTGTGTGAACATTTATTCATATAAAGTTAGATGTGGAAAATGGCTGTATGTGATCGTTCCCTTCGGAGAAGGCTTAGCCCATCTAAGACATCTTTCTCATCCAGTCAAGTACCAGATTAAGGTGAACCAGCCGTTCTTTACAATTTGCACAGCCAACCACCAAACATAAATCGGGTTTTAAGATCACTACCAGACAAGGCCACTTTTATCTTTACCCAGTACCTACAGAATAGTGTCCAAATTCAGTCTGACTCCTGACTTCCCAGGCATAAACTGAAATATATATGTGCCTCTTTTTTTTTCCAGTTCAAGTACAGTGTTCCACATACTGATCCCCCTAAAGTGATTGCACTTCCTTGATGCTGTTTCAAGATGTTGAAACAAGCCACTTCACCCCTGCTTGCTGAAACCTGTCTCCAAAACCCAGCTCCACCCCTACCCTTTTATGAAGCTATCCACAATAATCTACCCAGAAGTGATGCCTTCCTTTTAGTGTTCTGGATGCATTTATTATCCATGTCCCTCATGGGACCTGTCATCTCTTGCTGTCCTGATGTCAGTAAGAACCTTCTACTCTGAAAGTTCAGAAGCATGAAAAGAGCAGAACTGGGTTATTTAACATCTCGCCTCCCCCAAATAGATACATAGTGTAGAACCTTTCATTTTCAGCAGCAGCTTCTAAAAGTGGTTACTAAATCCCCTGCATCAGAACTCTGAAGATGATTACTTGAAATGCAGACTCCTGTACCTCACACTTGATGCACTATATCAGAACATCTGTATTTTAATCAGCTCCCTACAGTGCTGTTACACACAGTTTGAAACCACAATTTTCTAGTCAAATGAATGTCAAAAATAGATCACACTGGGGTCTGGAAGTACAGCTCAGAGGTAGAGCATACACAAGGCCCTGGGTTCAATGCCCAGCACCACCACTCCAAATGATAGTCAATGTCTGGAAGCCGGGGAGTACTATTTACAGTAAAGATAATGTATATAAAGTTGTGGTGGCATGGGCCTTTATTTCCCAGCACTTGGGAGGCAGAGGCAGGTAGATCTCTGTGAGATCAAGACCAGTCTGGTCTACATAGGGAGTTCCAGGCCAGGTGGGGCTACAGGGAGACTCTTCATATATATATGAAGAAGAAAAGCAAGTAGATAACATAGTAAAACTAAAATTTGTACTGAAATATAACAGATACTCTAAAATTGATACCATGTAGAAGAGATGAAAAGACCTTGAGCATCAGGCATGTTGGCACAGGGAAGCAGAGCCATGTAGATCTTTGTAAGTTTGAGAACAGCCTAGTCCACATAGTGAGATCCAGGGTAGCCAGGGCTACATGGGGAGATTTTGTTTCAAAAAAAAATTGAAACAAGTTGTTGGTAGAACCAGCAAAACTGGGGGGTGCTGTCTCCGGGGCAAGAAATTTGAGCAGTTTTAAAAGGTAAGTCAAGACCTGGGGGAAAAGAGGAAGACATTCCAAGTTCAAGTTATATTTTTTAAGAGGGAAAAAACAATAGCCCAAGAATCAAAGGTCCCAACTTTTATTTTTATAACTCACTAAGTCCAGTTGTTGCTACCCTTGTATGTGTGAGTGTGGAGCCATCCCCTACAACATGGGAACCCTACCAATGAAAAGGCCCAACTTTAAATGATGTCAGTAATATGCTCCTATCACATCACTCACCTTCTTGGTCTTATTTTCCACATTTATGCATGTTAAAAAAAAAAGGGAGGGGTTGGAGAGATGGCTCAGCAGTTAAGAGCACTTGCTGCTCTTGAGAAGACCTAGGTTCAGTTTCCACTACCCACATGGTGTCTCACAACCGCCTATAACTCCCATTTCAGGGGATCTCATGCTCTCTTCTGGCTTCTGTGGGCACCTGTACACATGTGATATGCATATAGACAAACACAAGTGCGCACGTATGCACATACACAAAAATCTTAAAGTAAGCAGCCTCCTTCAAAGGGTGGGCATGGGATTTAAACGTGGCACCTGGAAGAAAGCGTGAGGAAACGAACATATAGATGGCAGTCTTACATGCACAGGTATTTATTAAACATTTCTTTTTCATCTTCTCCCTTGAATAAAAAAAGTATCTAGGTCCTAGACACAAATTTGGTCATTATGAACCATCTATAGCCAGGCACTATAGTGAACAACTGTAGTCTCAGTACCCAGGAGGCAGAGGATTGAGGCCAGCCTGGTCTCAATTGCAAGATCCTGTCTCAAAAAAGCAGAACAAGGGGCTGGGCTTGGTGGTGCATGCCTTTAATCCCAGCACTTGGGAGGCAGAGGCAGGCAGATCTCTGTGAGTTCAAGGTTAGCCTGGTCTACATAGTGAGTTCCAGGACAGCTGGGGCTACAGGGAGACCCTGACTCAAAAAGACCAAAAAAAAAGCTGAACAAAAGCTGGGCATGGTGGTGCACACCTTTAGTCCTAGCACTCAGGAGGCAGAGGTAGGTGATCTCTCTGAGTTGGGTTCAAGGCCAGCCTGGTCTACATAGTGAGTTCCAGGCTAGCTGGGGCTACAGGGAGACCCTGTCTCAAAAAGACCAAAACAAAAAAAGAAGCAACCGTCTTACTGAAGAATTCCATAGCTATGTGTAACAAGCTCTTCTAATAAGTTACAATGTGACATTAAAATTTATGGAAATATAGTTTTCACAAAACAAATTCGGGACTTTTTTTTTTGAGACTAGGTCTTGCAGTGTAGCCCAGGCTGGCTTTGAACTTCCAGTCCTCCTACCTTAGCCTCCCAGAGTGGGAAAATTCCAGACAAGTGCCACCACACCCAGCCACTTTGTAAGCGCAAGTGCATGTTGAGATGATTGGAATTCTTGTGATTTCAGGAAGAGTCTTTTGTTAGCAGGGCAAAACAGTCATAACTTTCAATTGGTGCCAGTGTTTTTCCTCTTGCTTTCTTTAAGTTCATCATTTTAGTTTGGCTGGTTGTGGGCTATTACATTGGCCTACGAGGACCTTCCTCCCACCAGGCCAGCGGCAATTGGGATGGAGACGTGTTTTGGGTGATTCTTTCTGGTGATCACTGGGCTTTCTTCTTCATAGCCATAAGTCTTTTGTTCCACCTATGTGGCTGAAATCCTAAGTATCTGCTAGCACCTGGTCTACCCAAACTT